TTTTTTAAAAAAAGAACCCCAACATGGACATATTAAAGACTGCAGTTAGCAATATCCATTCGAAAAGTCTGAAAAAAATTTGGAGCATTTTATGAGAAAATGGCGTTTGAGCGTTTTTAGCGCGTAAAAGCACGCGTTAAAGCACATGAACTCATAAATTTAATAATGTGAACAAATTGTCCCTAATATAAATATTAACGACACGAGAGACAAGTCAAAAAAATTCCATTATTGTAATTAAAAAAATAGAGCAATATGTCATCTTATAGTGTTCATTTAGCGCTATCCCTGCAAAAAGTTTAAAGAAGAAATTTGGAGCCGTTTTTGAGACAATCTTATTATTGTAATTTTTTTAATTTGCACAGATTTCTCGCAATATTGCGCGAAAACTACTACAACTTTCAAAGAATGTGCATGACCTTAATGAAAGAACTCACTATGAAAAACAAATTTCTTGAATTTTGTAGTTGTAGGAGGATGCCAGAAAAAATTGAAATTTTGAAATTTCCGAAAATTCATAGTTAAACCTGAAAATCGGATCTATGCCACTTTTTATAAGTGTATTTTACTCTATTCTTACAAGAAATTTAAAGAAAAAATTGGCGACGTGTTTGAGAAAACTTTGAAAATGCCCGGAGGGCTTCATGCAAATTATTCCCAAATTTTAAAGATTTTTTCAAAATCTAAAAACTTCGACTCGATCCAGATCGACAGGGGTTTCTTCAATTCAAAAAATATCCTACGAATGGTTTAGGCGCTAGTGGTGTTCATAGACGGATGGACAAGCAGACGGACGGTTTGAAAAAAAAAATAATAATAAAAATCAGTATCAGCGGACCCGAAACGTGTATTTTCGTTGAATTTTCCGGAGCATCACATAAATTTCCCTATAGTACATATAATACTTTGTATATGAGTGCGTATGCGGGAAAGTAATAAATTCGTGAACTTAAGTCCAGTACTATAAAACGCCGGTATAATGTTCAGCGGTATTGTGAATATCCCTTATTAATAAATCCTCCCTCAATTGTATTTTGCTTTTAAACGTTATTTACTTAGAAATTAAACTGTTTCTAATATCATGAGATAGATATAAAGATGGTGATAAGAGCTATTTATGAAATATGAGCCCCCTTGGTATCTTTTCATACATCGCAAACATTCTAACAGGATCACTTTTAACAACTAGTTTAATAACTCCTTTTGCCATTATAGCTCTGTGGTTCAGTTGTAAATGAGAGGTGATGTGAAACAGAGGTGTTCGTGTTTTGTCGATTCTATAAGCTTTCGAAGGTAAGTTTTTGACTTTTAATTATAGTTTGAGTGCGCTTAAACATTCTAATTCTTAACGAATGAAATACAATATGTTTTAAATATTGTTTTTATGCCTGCAATCTGTGATTTCGAACGAATCAAAGACCAGTTTTAGTTTGCTGAATTTTAATATGGTGTTTGTTGTAAAATAAGCCCCGAACTATGATGCTTGTAATTCCAAATTTTAACGGACTCGTATTACATACACGACTTGTGCTCGTACATTTTTGTTTTAGATCCCACCAAAGGTTCGAGGTCCATAACAAAAATGAACTAGTAGTGCTTCAGAATGTCACAGACTTTCTCGCACTAGTTAGTTTCCTAATTTCTTTGGTTGGAGTTAGCTATTCGCTCGTGCCCCATTCTCTTGCCAGCTGCCATCTATTGGAACCCAAACATAATTTTTTCACATTTGCTGAATTTTTCGGTTTCCTCATGGCAGAACCGAAAAATTACTTTAAGAATAATACTGAAGAGTAAAATCTCGTCCAATAAGAACATTTTCGTTGAAATATTTGGTGCGATTTTTACGAAAATGGCATTTAAACTTTACTGTAAATGGAAAATTTGAAGTTTTTGTTTCTTCAAGTAAACGTTTTTCAGTTGTCACGTTTTTCACGTTCATAATAAAGTTTAAAAGCAAAATATAATTCAAAGAGGATTTATTAATACGGGATATTTCTTTTCAAAAAACTTTATTTGAATTCGTTTGAAGTACTGCCGAATTGGAAGTCGTTTGAAGTAACGCAATTATGTATACAAATCGCCAGAAATTAGTGGCGTGAGAGATATTTAAAAAAATACATTTGTGTAATTTTTGAAGAAACAAAAGTATACAGCAAAATGAATTTCACGTAATCTTAAACAGTGCAATTAGCATTATCCCTACACAAATTTTGTAGAATACATTCGGAGCAGTTATCGAGAAAACTATGTTTGAGTGTTTCTGAAAATGCGGAAATTTGAGCTCATTTTCACAAAAACGGTTGAGTTTTCGAGAAACATTACATGACATCATTTAAAGCACATGAGATCATAAATGCAATAATACGAACAAATCGCCTCTAATGTACATATTAACGGCGTGAGAGATGTCAAAAAATTCATCAGTGTAGTTTTTGAAAAACAAAAAAATAGAGCAAAATTGCGTTTATGTCATCGTATAGAGTACTTTTAACACTATCCATCACAAAAGTTTAAAGAAAAAATTTGGAGCCAAACGGCTCCAATCGATAAAATTTTCTTTTTTATATTTTTTAAAAATTTGTACGTATTAGATTATTTATTACGGCATTATTAAATATCACGCGAAAATTAATAAATTTTTAGGCTAGCTATTTGGACTTGCCACATACTCTTGCCAGCTACTATATATCGCCGCCCAATACATTTTTTTTTAAAGATTCTTAATTTCCTAGTTTCCTAGTAGCAGAAAGGAAATATTATTTTAAGAATATTAAAGAACAGTAAATTCTCGTCCTAAATTACAATATCCTTTGAAAAATTTGTAGCCTTTTTTAAAAAAAATGGTTTGTAAGCACTACTGTAAATTAGAAATTTGATGCCCCTTTCCACAGAACATTTTTGAGTTTTCGAAAAGCTTCCTTTAAAGCACTTTAACTCACAAATCCAATAGTATTTACAAATTACTGGAAATATGCATATTAACGGCGTGAGAGGTCTTTAAAAAAATACATTTTTGTAATTTGAAAAAAAACACCTCGAAATGAACTTTACTTCATATTAAAGATTGCAATTCGCATATCCAAAAAGTTTTAAAAAATGGAGCTGGTTTTGAGAAAATGGCGTTTGCGCGTTTCAGAATATGCGGAATTTTGAGCTAACCGTTTCACAGAAAACGATTGAGTTTACGGAAAACTTTAAAAAACATTATTTAAATGCTCTCAAATATAATAATATCGCCGCTAATATAAATATTAACGACTTAAAAAAAAGTCAAAAAATTATATTATTGTAATTTTTGAAAAGATAAAAGAATAGAACAATGTGGCGTTTATGTCATCATATAGAGTACCTTTAGTACTATCCCTACCAAATGTTTAAAGAAAAAAATTTGAAAGTGTTTTTGAGAAAACCTTGTTTTGTAATTTTGTTAAATAGCACATGTGGCTCACATTATTGGGCGAAAAGTACTAAAATTTTCAAATAAGTGTAAATGACCATAATGACAGACCTCACTATGCAGATAACGTTTTATGAATGAAAAATCTCTATCTTTAATTTTGTATTTGTAGAAAGATGCCCAAAAAATTTAAAAATTCCAAAATATCTGAAAATTGCGAGTTAACATTGAAAATGGGACCTATACCACCTTTGTCAGTGTAGTTTACTCTTTCTTACAAGAAATTTCAAGAAACAATTTGGAGCCGTTATTGTGAAAATTTTCAAAATGTCTGTGATCTTCATGTAAAATAGGTGACCTGGGCTGTCCGGGTGACGCCGCGTCGAAGGCTGACAGGGTATGCATACCAGCCCTGAGGAAGACCACGACAGGACGGTCAAAACGTCGGCAACTCAGCCTTCGACGCGGCGTCACCCGGACAGCCCAGGTCACCCACATGACTCTGGTCGCGGAAGCCTACGACTTCATTCATGTAAAATACCCACAAAAGTTAATAAATTGTCAAAATCGTTTTTCAAAATCACAGAGCTTTGACTCAAGCCAGTTCGACGTATTCAGTTTGAAGAAAACCGTACTGTTCAGTCGCTAGTGTTGTTCACATACACCAGACAAACGTAGAGACGGACTGACGTGTTTAAAAAATCGATATCAGGGGACTCCAAAACGTTTATTATCGTTGAAATAGGTTATTGCTATTATCGTTGAAATGGGTATTATACAATATAAGTACACTCATGTATGTGCTACATGCAAGAACTTTCATTACGAAAGCTAAATATTAAATAAAAGTGAAAAGCAGTATTAAACATTACATTTAAACTGGCTTTGCTACAGCAAGAAAAGCCAATCAAATCGCTCGCGCATGCGAAATTGCATGTGTAAAATCCATTGTCAGTTTTCTTGCTCCGTCTAAAGTTCATTTTTCGGTATTCTTTTGTTATTTTTTCAAATTTTTTAAAAAATTGTAATTGTTTTGAAATATTTCTCTCCCCTTTAGAATGTATATTTTTCGCGATTTGTATACATTATTGCAGTTGTGAGTGGAAGTGCTTCAAATGACTCCAAATGGAGTTTTTCGAAAACTCAAAAAATTTCTATAAAAAAGAGCTTCCAATTTCGCATTTACAGTAAAGTTTAAACGCAATTTTCTTAGAAATTATTCCAAATTTTGCAATGAAAATTCCCATTTAGGACGAGGTTTTACTCTTCTTTAATATTGTTAGAGTGATATATCGGTGCTATCTTTGACACCGAAAAATTGAGAAAATGTAAAATAAAAATGAAGCTTGGGGGGTGATAGATGGCAGCAAGAGTGTGTGGCATGACCAAAAAGCTAGACCAGACTAAAAAATTTAAAAAACTAACTTGTACGCGAAAACTTGTGCCATTCTGTAGCACCACTAGTTTTCAACTAGGTCTCTATTAACTCGTTTCGCTATTGAATTCTAATTTCCCGCAAAATCTTATTAGTTCCAAAATTTGGTAGATGTCGCTAAATAAAGTTTTCATATTACATTACTGTGGAGCTTCCGAGAAGGATCCTCTTTTCCTTGTTCTATTTGTTTTTAACTTTGAATATGAAATTTATTTAGTAATATATAATTAACTGGTAAGATAGTGTCTCTGAAATATGATACATGGAGAAAGTATGAGTAATATGTTACGTTGAAAAGAGCGATGTGGAAGTTCCATATCATAGATGGTGCCGTCACTTGCTGATCACGTGTAACATGTTTGGCCAATTGCATGGACGCGAGATCCCTATACGTGGCATGAAGCACGAATCCTCTTCCACGTCCGCCATTTTGGTAGTATAAATATCTAAGGGTTCTGGGTTAATGTACTTGCTTTTCGTGAAGATTTTGGGTGTTTGACCGCCAGAAGGTAAGTTATATATGTTTCAAGAAGTGTGGAATGTGAGTGATTAGTTCTGTACTAAAGACTGGTGTAGTTTTCCACATTACAAGTGATTCGACTAGTTCGCGTTTTGTTGGGAGGAGGTAGGTGACAAGTGTTCAGGCTCATCTATACAATATTCAAGTTTTGTTTCTTATTGTAATACTGAAAGTTTGGTGCATGAGCTTCTGTATATGGTGAGGAGCCCGGAGTAGAAATTCACTTAAGTTACTTTTTCAACTGAAGTTCTTCCGTATGACCGGCGGGTAACTTCAACCCTGCCAGAATCGATTGTTCGTGACAACCACGCGAAATCAGAAACTTGTGATACTTTTAAGATTCTTGTGACAGGAGGTGATTTGATGGTGCTCTTTTATTTTCAGACACACAAGAACATCTGTCTATATACATAATATAAATAAAGAGAAATCATAATGGGGAATATGTTCGCAAATCTCTTCAAAGGCCTTTTTGGCAAAAAGGAAATGAGGATATTGATGGTCGGATTAGATGCTGCAGGAAAAACCACAATTTTATATAAACTGAAATTAGGTGAAATTGTTACTACAATTCCAACGATTGGTAAGTAGAATGTATTTGGGACCAAATCTTGATTGTAGTCCCAATTTTTGGGAGAATACATAGCTTAACTTTAGTATTTGGGTCCTTTGTATTCATGTAGCTATTAAGAATGATAAGGTGAATAAATACTATGAAATTGTGCATCTAGTGCAAAAATTAGTCTTGTCCAGACTGCAGGTAATTTGTGTGTGTCCTGCAATTTTTACCCCCTTATTTTGAGGGCTTTTCTTGTTTTCTTCTAAACTAACGTTTATCTGGATTACTTATAAAGAAAAGGGTTGATATTTGTGCATAATCAGGAAAGATCTGTTATTGGTATATGCAAATATATTTATCTGGACTTCAAAGGCCAGTTGTAACTTCGTTTTGACATTTTAGTTATATTAAATCACAGGTGTGAAGTGACTAGCAGAAATGGCGAAAAAAGAAATGCATTTGTATGTAATATACAAAGTGTGTTTAAATTTGTGATGTTCAAAAATGGTCTTAACATTTCGTGTCAACAACGTAATGTAACCTTAGTTTTCAAAGAAATGTGAAGAAAACGTGGTATAGAGTTCATATTTTGATTTATTCCTATTTCTAATCTTCTTGGGTTTATGGGATATGTGTAATTCGTATTTTATTTAGTGTTTGAAGCGTAAATATTGTAGTAATTGGTCATAGTTTAATGAAATTTGTTTTAATTGATATAGGTGGAAGACATAAAGGAAATATTTACCTCCCCTCCATCCTTTTTTTTTTTTTTTAAAGTATGATATTCACATTTGTTACCATGCATTCAATAATGTACAGTCTTTATGGTTAATATAAATCTTTATTGATGATATTAGTGCCATTCATCTTAATTTCAAGTGATGGAAAGCAGGGGGGATTGTTTGGTTTGTTTCTGTAATGATGATTTTTCAGTTCCCACAGTATACCATGCTGGTGAACATTCAAGACGGGTCTGACTTATTCGTTATAATAAGACTTGCTAGTTTCAAGTATAATGTGTTCTGTAACTTGCTCATTGTATTCTAGGATTTAACGTTGAGACGGTAGAGTATAAGAATATCAGTTTCACAGTTTGGGATGTTGGTGGTCAAGATAAAATTCGACCCCTTTGGCGGCATTACTTTCAAAATACACAGGTAAATCATGAGAGTATTCTCATTTTAATATACCATGTTGGCAATTATGTAATAGGATTTTTTCGAAGAAGGTGGTTACTATTGCAGTTTTGATGAAAATGGTAAAGTTCCTTGTTCTTTTTTTTTTCTTGCAGGGATTGATCTTTGTTGTTGACAGTAATGACAGGGAACGTATAGGTGAAGCGAGGGAAGAATTGATGCGAATGCTGGCAGAAGATGAATTAAGGGATGCTGTATTACTTATTTTTGCTAACAAACAAGTAAGCTTTTTGTTGGTCTTTTATAAAACTTAAAATAATGTAGAAATATCAGTGAAATGTAATATTATATTTTTTCTCAGGATCTCCCAAATGCCATGAATGCTGCTGAAATCACAGACAAACTTGGCCTTCATTCTCTTCGAAATCGTAATTGGTATATTCAAGCAACTTGTGCTACTAGTGGGGATGGTTTATATGAGGGGCTTGACTGGCTCTCCAACCAGCTGAAGAATGCTAATCGCTAAAGATGGTATTACCATCTCCAGAACCTCTCCATTTAAAATGTTAAGAAGAGAAATGCATTAGGTTAAAGAATGTTCCGCATATTGACCGTGAATGTCATAAAGCTCAGTAAGTTATCTTCGACCTGTGAAATGCTCTGTACAGCTGTTATATTTGGACTATTAAGGGATGCATTATACATATTTATATTAGTGAACAGTTGTCATTTGTGTGATTTTTGTGGATAAGACTATTCATGATCTCACAATGATTTTCTAAGATAGGATGCCTGAAATTAAATCCTCTTGTGTAACTGTGTGGATGAAATCTACTTAGTAAAGTTTGCTTCTGATATTTAATGCTAAATTGGTATGTATATTTTTTCTGGAACATAGTCTATTTAATGTATGGGAGATTATCTCCTCTACTTCAATATAACAACCAATTGATTGAAATTCAAAATTTACTTTCTACAATTAATCTGAGTATTTGTTTGTGGGATCATTTGAAGGGTCATACATATCTGTGTTTTTGACATTGACGGTGTCGGGACAAACTTCCAGAACTGACACGTGTGTTATGGACTTGGTACGTGGATAAACTACTGGAGTTAAGGAGTTTGCATGCAATGCAATGTATTATTGCTTTTTTGGAACGTTGATTTACATGCATCCTCCTGTTTGCTTACTACATGGAAGGCAGACTAGATCCATTAACTCGTGAAGAAGGGTAATGTTTCTGAGAGAGAAGGTAAAAGATGGTGACTGTTTTGTTTTCAAAGTGGCAGTATATACAAGAAAATCCAAAGTATGCAGAACTTGTTACATGGAAAGTGATAAAACGTAACCCCTCCCCTCTGAAGAAAGAGGTGATCATATATTGTGCATTAAAGTAGGTCTTGCTTTCTTTTTACTGAAGTGGAGAATAGTTGCTAGTTACTGATTGTGTGAACATTGGATGGTGTGTTAATGTGTTTAATGGAAGTGAAGCTACTTGTTATATTCCAAATGACCAGGGTTTTATTTCTTTAGTCCGATGGCTGCAATGATGGATACCTTGAGCTGTTCTGAAGACTGATGATTTTAAATGTGTTATTTCAAACAAAAAAAGAAAAAAACAGAAAAGGAAAAAAAGAAAGAAAAAATATTGTGATTAAAACTTGTTCTTTTTCTCTGAGGGTGAGGGGGGAGTTATCAAAGTAATGACAAAATGAACTGTAAGAACTATGCACCATACAATTAAAAATTACATCAACATAGGTGTTGGATTTTATAAATGAGTAACCAGTTTTTCAATCTCCCTGGAGATAATAGCAAGATTTTGGTTTTGTAGTATTTACGAAAAGCACACAGCATCTGGTAGATTGTATTATAAGAAATGTTGACATTCCGCAATTTCATCTTGTGCTGTCAGATTTGAGCCAATTCTATGAAATAGTGCTATATTCTGCTGTTTTTCATTCAGTATTTTAAAGATTTGTTCTATTCGTAATTCAACGAGTAATGGCAAAGTAAACATGCATTCCAGGTATATTTTGTATTAAGTAGTTTTGCTTTAAAAATACCAGGAAATAGAACTTACATATGCGGTGTGAAGTGAAATTTTACAAGATTGTAATTCATTCTCACATTATTTGTATGTTATACCTTGTAGCTAATGGTAAAAAATGTTGATTGACATCCAAATGTTATGAGAGACTTTTATTTCATCAGATTACATTTTGTTTGAGTACTAGGAATGCATTTTACTCTGAAGAGTTTAGGATTGGGGAGAATTAAATCCTATGGGATCTTTTTCTTGCAGGTAAGATTTTAGAAATTGCAGTAAACCTTAATTTTCCTTCCAAAGTTATGTAAGCATGCCATTCTTGTGAAATATATTGTATTTGTGCTTTGATTGTCTTGTTCACAATAAGATGAATCCCATTTGCACCCTCTTCCCTTCTGTTAAGAGGGTGCCATATAGCGTTCCATCAAAAGTACAGGATTCAGTGCATAGGTAATTACAAAGGGGTTTGCATTGCTAATTTAAATGGAATTAATATGTGGTTTAAGCATGATAAAATGTAAAGTTTTGAATGTCAGTGAAACCTTTGTGAAAGTACACTTGCTTATCATGTGAGGTTAGTGAAGTGAACAGTGCAATGTTGCAGAAACTAGATTGACTATTTTTCATACAACTTCTTGGGTTATGTTGAACTTGGTTAAATTATGTATATTACTAAGTAAATAAAAACTTGGTATCATGTCAGAAGCTGTTTCTTTGTGTTCAGGATAAGGTTGCGGATTACTTTCAAGCCTGACAAACATGAGTAAAAAAAAAAATTCCTTAAATGGAAAGCGTGTATTTGGGTTTCATGATTCAATATTTATTATTAAAGATTTGATATATGGGAACTAATTAATTATAGTAATGTAATTCTCTATTGTAAAAACTCCAGGCCTTTGCCCATTATACTATAAATATAAACATATAACAAATTTTTAAAAGTTAACAACAATAATGATTACCATATTTATATGAATATAAGTGACTAAATTTAAAACACAATTTTGGAGAGACCTCCTGGATTTTTAATCATTGCTTCTATTCATAATCTCAGAATTGCAAATGACATGTTGACTAGAAATTTCTTTTTGAGGTTCGGTAGTTTTCCAATTATCGCATAATAAATTCATCACATTAATTTATTTGATCAATTCCCAGGCACTCGCTTTTTTCCCCTGGATACAGTATTTATTTAAACCTTTTTTCCGAACAACCAATTTTAACTACTCATCATGGTAGGGGTCCAGTTGAGTGTCTGTGATGAAATTATGCTTACAGATGTACTTTTTGGATGTGGATAACAGAATGCTCTAATATAATTGTTTATCATAACAAACCCTTTTAAAATACTCATTTTTTTAAAATTATTACAGTACTTACTTTACCTGGGTACTTTCATTACACAGTTTTGAACAGATGCTAAACCTTTGTTTCCTACTGCTTTCTCTAGGGCAAATGTTTTGAGTTCTGGAAGTTGCTGTTTCCCCAATGTGTGATAGGCGACAGTTTTTCAATCCTGTTTGACTGTGTCCTAAAGTTTGGTGTTCATGCCAAATCCTTAGCAATATAAATAAGTAATGGTATGATCTTATGTTTTCTAAAATTAAGGTCAGCATGTCGGGGCACCTGTCATTATGCAATTTTCCCACAAGACCTGGACTCCACATGACTTCAAAAACTCGCCCTTGGACACTTGGACTCTTTGAAACCCACACCTGGAGTCTGTGAAGGAGTTGTTCTTAGAATCACACTCTCGTCAGAGAGAGATAAAGACGTTGAGCGATCCAAAATCAGTCTGTGACACAATGCGGTCGTCAAGTAATCAACCAAATACCAGAAAATGCAATGTTACATGCAGAATATGAGACTTGGATCCAATGGATCCCGGTTGCCAGGATAAGGGTTAATTTCCCTTTTGGAGTGAGGGCATGGTTTTCTTAATACCAATCGTTGTCGAGATACTTTGAATAGTGATTACAACATTATCAGAGGTCATTGCACCAGGAATTCCCCGTATTGTGGTGTTACTGTAATTTTAGTTCCCTAATTTGGTGAGGTGATCTTTGAATGAATCAACATTGTTTTCATTCAGCAAGTAGCCTTGTTTTCCAAACCTTCAACAAATACAGCATCTGGTTATCCACCCTTTCTCTTTGTATCTGAAAACAAGCTCCATTTGCTATTTCTCTTTTGGCGTTTTTCCTAGACAATCAAATTCAGAGGCAACTTCCTGTCAGAGAACACGGCATATAACTATTTCTCTACCAGCTTTTTCATTGCCCTTAGCTTCAACTGCTGCTTTGGATTTCTTCTTCAGGTATAAAGGCACTGCCTGTTACACCGCAGTTTCCACCTGGTCACCCCATCTCTTCTTTGGGTGACCAGAATTTCTTCGTCCTTGTAGGTGGTATTGTAGAATTCTTTTTGGCAGGTGGTTGTTTTGCTTCCTTCCAACGTGCTGGGTCCAAGAATTTTGGTAGTAATGTATTTAATCTTCCATAGAAATCTAAGTTCTTTACGAATTTCTATATTCCTTTTCTTGTCCATCAGCTTATAACCACCCACTGATCTCGGAAATCTAATTTCAGCACTTTTGTAGTCTTGTGCTATCATTTTTTGGATATTGTCCAATTTTCACTTCCATATAAACATGTGGGGATACTTCATACCTTATAGAATTTACTCATAGTACCCTTTCTGACTTTTTTTTTTCTCTCAGGGTTCTCAGTATTGTTCTGTTCATATGATTTTAGTTTTTCAATTTTCCCCTGTATATCTATTGCTCCTCTGTATGACATTTTGTATCCTAAGAAATTGAAACTTGAAACTTGCTCTATACCTGAATTATGTACAACTAATTTGGATCTAATTGTTCTATCCCTTCAAAGGCTATGACTTTTGTTTTTGTTGAGGGTATATAGAGATTGTACATTTCAGTTACCTTTTGTTCAAACAGTGCTTTTTGGAGGATATATTCATCATTTGCTATTATAAGTTTGTAATTGTTTCTTTCTTTTCCCATGTCATGACTAAGATTTTAGTGTGGATATCAACATATTTAATGCTTCATCTAAATATAAATTAAAATGATTTGGGGATAGACTTGTATCCTTGTCTCACTCCTTGGCCTATTATCTCTTTTTCTCTTGGCCCTTGATACACATTTTTGAGTTCTTATAGATGTTCTTAATGACTGAAATCAGCTGTGGTGGGAGACCTTTGTAATGCAGTACATTAAATTGAGTATTTCTGTTTACTGTGTTAAAAGCTTTAGAGTAATATATGAAGAGCATGTGTGTTCTTTTATTAAATTCTGTTTCTCAAATGATCTGATTGATAATAAAGATATTAATCAGACCAAGACCTGCCCTTCCGGAATCCATTTTGTTCTTCCAACCATTGTCTCTGCAATATTACATACTCTGGATGCGATTATTTTAGAATAGATCTTGTAAGTAACATTATTAGACTAAGACTTATTCCTCTATAATTTTCACAAGATGACCGGTCTACTTTCATAAAGGAAGGGCTTATTAGGCCAATTTTCCACTCTTTCGATATAAGCACTTTTTTCCAACATAGATTGAGAAAGTGTAAGAGCCGTTTGTTTAAATTTTCTGATGCATATTTGATAATTTTGCCTTTAATGCCATAGTTTCCACTCTCTTTTTTATTTTTCTTAAAGCATCTTCCAGCTTCCCCTATTCTATTTCATCAATTTCCCTTTCTGTTTCTAAGAGTTCTTCTTTGTTTTCATGAGCAGGTTCTGTCTATAATCTTTTATAATAAGAGCGGAATTGGTCAGCTTTCACAATTTGAATATTTACTGTATCTTTCACCTTTCAATTTAGATGTTGCATTACTTTATAGCTCATTGTCTGGCACTTGTATATATCATGCTCCAGGTTAGCCTTGTATCTCTCCCAGCTCTCTTGTTGTGCCATGTAAGACTTCTTATTAATTTGATGCAGTAGAATACTCTTCTTTTAGGTGGCAAGGCAGTCTTGTTTTGGGGTTTAGATACCTATGACTGCATTGGTGAACTGCCTCCTCATGGTGCTTTGGATGTATTGAAATAAATAGGTGTATGAACAGCATTGCTGTACTAAAGTACACAGTACACAATGTGACTGAACACTTAAACGTTTTAGGTCACATTTGAGTACTATGCTAGAGGGCATTTGTGTTCTGGTGCAAGTGTGTCCATTAACACCAAATTTTTATTTTTCAAATCTTGTACTTAATTTTGCTTTTAAGTAAATGAGGCTTTAAACCTATGAAGGTGTTACATACATTTTTAATTATCAGATTATTTCCCAGTACAGTATCACTGGGTACCTAAAGCAAAAAGGGTTTTATTTTAAAATGTCTATAATAAATTGACAGTATATTAAGGGCAAATTATAGGAAACCAGTGTACAGTATATGAAATTGTTAAAATCTTTACACTTTGTCCTACATTGCATTTTCCACACATTACCCTCACTGACAAAGAGCAAACTTCACCTGCACATGTTATTTTCTTGCTTGGGCTGAATGATTACATCATCCCAGCTCTTAAAACAGGTAAATTTTTTTGGAATTGGAGGCCACCTTGAAAAATTTAGTATGGACACAATAATGGCCAAGCTGTGTGTGATCCATTTGTACAGAATTCTGACTTAGTTTATTGTGGTTTATACCAAAAGTTAATTTAAAATAGGCCTATTATAGCCATGAGAGTATGGGCGTAAAGTATTACTCCCTGGACTATTTCAGTACTACGCTTTGAATTCTCTGCAGTGAAGAATTCTTTGAACTTGCAGAAACCTGTTTCTTTGCATTGAACTAGAAACACATTGTCATCTTTGTGTTTATCTCAATGCATTTGGTTTATTGGCAAAACATTTTATGTGCTTAAGAGTAAAAAATATTGCATTTCAGTGTTATTTAAGGAATGGTGTGCGTTCCATTCAGATTTTCATACTATATGTTCTGTTATTTCATTGTATAAAATTGTTCAGAGAAACATGATCTGAAGTTGTATTGCTTGCATTCAGGAATTGGGAATGAATCTAAATCACCCTGTTTGTTCCACTAGCTCTTGCTCTTGCTCCAGCTGAAATCCTAGAACTCTTACCTTCTCTACCAATTCTGGACGCATTACTGAAAGAAGAAAAAGTTGCGCTTTTTTCTAAACTTTTAAAGCGTGCATACTGAATGCTATTTATTTTTCAAAAGTATTTCTGCTGCAAATCACAGGTGTTGTCCTGGAAGACAAGACATTTGACCTCTTAAATATCTAGAATCGTTGGCTGAACATTTATTTCAAATGATTCTTTCTAGGTTCTGAGAACTAAATCACTGTCACATTCAGTAATGTTATGTGCCTCTCGTAACAAAAATCTGGGGCTGATAATAAAGCAAGTGATGGCAGGAGAAAATGTGTAGACTTGCGCACAGATCCCCCTTGTGATACCACATGGTATCAGAAAGTTGGAAATCAAATTATTGAAAGGGTGTCAGAAAGAGATTTTCACTTATTATTGAATATGTTGTTGCCTTTGGTGTGTTAAAACTACAAATTGTTTTATCCTTGGAAAACAAGTGAAATGTCATTATGCCCATTCATAGTCATTTGAATAATCTCTGGACATGCTGCACAGAACAAACAAAATTTTTGGTATTTGAACGGTAGTGTTTGTGATGTCAAATGCGAAGTTATCAGCGAGCATGATTCCACACCGTATAAGATAGTTTAAAACCAACTTCAAATAATTGTGGGGCTACTTTCTTGTGTCAGATAGTTCTCTAATTTCATGCATCTGCACCAGCATTTTGATGTTACTCTATCCTCTTACAAGCTGCTGTCTATTCTCACCCGAACTACTTTTCATTTTCTGAATTTTTTGGTATGCTAATGGTAGAACTGAAATGTTACTTTAAGAACATTATACAAGAGTAAAACCACATCTTTCCTGGAAATTTTTGCTGAAAAATGTTCAGTAGTTTTTAAGAGAATGTCTTCTGTTACTGTAAATGTAAAATTTGAAGCTCTTTAACGCAAAAAACTTTAGCTTTCATGAAACTTCATAGAAAGTAATTTGAAGCACTTCCACTCACAAATGAATAATGTATGCAAATCACTGGAAATGTGCGTATGAACAGTGGAAGAGATATTTAAAAAAAATTATATGTAAGTAATACAAAAAATACAGCAAAATGACTTCATATCATTTTGCAACAATGTATTTAGCATTACTTTTCCATAAAGTTTGAAGAAAAAATTCGGAACAGGTAGTTTTCACTAAACTTTATAAGACATCATTCAAAGCACTGTACTCCTAAATGCAATAATGTTCACAAATTACTGCTCGTGTAAACATTAGCGACGTGAGAGGCAGGTAAACCAAATACTTTTTTGTAATTTTTGCAGGAACAAACTAATACAAAATTGGATTTGTACAGTCTTATGCTGTACTTTTAGCACTATTCCTACCAAAAGTTTAAAGGGAAAATTTGGAGCCATTTTTGAGAAATTCTCGTTCCTGATATTTTTTAATATTGCACCGTTTCACGCAATATCACATGAAAATTACTAAAAAATTTTTAAAACATATTCATTCCTGTTATGAAAGAAAAATTGCAAAGAACAAATTTCATTGAGAGGAAAAGTATCTCCAACTTTGTAATTATAGGAAGACTGCAAAAAATGTTTGGAACTTGTACCTTTCGAAAGTTTAGAGTCAATAGTCAAATCAGACCACCTTTATAACTTTGTTTCTCTCTTTTCTTACAAGAAATTTAAAGAAAAATTTGTAGCCATTTTTGAGAAAATTTTAAAAATGTCCCAGTGGCATCATGTAAAGTACTCCCAAAATTTAAACAAGGTTTTTGAAAATCACAGAGCCTCTAGTAGAGCTAGATCTATTAGGAAATAATTGTTTTGGAAAAAGTCATATGAATAGTTTAGGTACTACTGTTATTCAGACACCTGGACGCTTTGAAAAAACAAAACACTTTAGTGTAAGGGGACTCCAAAACGTTCTGTTGAAATCTCGAAATAGATTTTCCGCAGTACTACACAACTTTCTTTTTACTATGTATATATCACAAGGCACTAATGAGTTGTAAAGCTTTTGAATCCTTGCAGCCAGTGTTTTTTCAGAACTGAAAAGTAGTTTTGTGCATGTGTCTGCAGATTTTGGTTTAAATTTTGTTTTGTTAATGAATATTAAATAGCAGTTCTCTCAAGTGGGATCCTAGGGAACACCTGAAAAATGTTATTTGTAGGCTAATACTCAAAATAATTTTAGTTGCACATTTGTTATCAAAGCTGTTTGTTGATAGTTTAGTATTACATAATTTTTTTTGTTGCTATAAGATTCAAGACTTTCTGGTATTTTGTTAAACATTAAAAATGGTGTATTATTAATAATTAATATTTTCCAGATTTGAAAATCTGAGTATTATAATTTGGCTTCCAAATCTGGAAACCTATCATTCTGTACAAAGCTTGAAAAATGATTCATGAAGAATGGATGTTGTTATTTACCTTAAAATTGTGTGGGAATATAAGGATCAGTGGGACCTGGGCATTTTTATTAAAGTCTTTTTATTTATTTTTTTTATAAAAAATGGTCATTATAATACTTATCTTTAGTCTTTATTAATGAAACATAACTGGTGAATAAATCTGCAAAATCTTGTCCACAACTCGCTGTCTCCGAAAGTAAGTAAAAGTATAGTACTTTCAAAATGCATTGATAGTTTCAAGAACAATTCATTCTTACTTTATTTGCTTTGCCTTTTTCTGACCTTCAGAAAAAATATAGATAAGATTTCTGGTTGTGATCATTAATAACAACTTGGCATTTTATCATGTTTATCTTGCAGGTAACAGAATAAATAGCACTAGATGGCTCAATACTTACATTGGCAAAATACTAAAACATGTGCAGAGTGATACTCATTGTTTAACAATTTGTAGTTTGTTGACCTGTTAATGCTGGCCTTACACTAGCAAGGGATAGCTGCAAGAAGTTGCAGCAACAGTTTATTCCTGAGCAGATAAACTAACAATTTGCACTGAAAGCATGCATGTTGCAACTTGACCTGATATTGT